TCACACAGAGCAGCCTGTGCCTGGACACGATCCTGGGGCCTTGCACATGGTCTGGATAAGTGAGCAATAAGGATTTCTCAGCAGCTCTCACAATCAGGAATTTTTCTCAAGAATGGCAACTAGGATTCCAGAAACACTTTCTGAGGAAAATTACCAACTGGTAGAAAAGTTTTATTGCACACAATTGCACAGCAACTATCACTGCAGGGACAACTTAAGTGAACATGTTTTGGGAAAGACTAAACACGTTTTCTAATGATTAGAGATAAGTGAACTTGACACTAAAATAAATTAACACAGGTATAGGGGGAGAAGTTGTTAGTTGAAGCCTGGGGATAATTAATCAAGCTTTCATTTGATATTAATTTCTCCTGTGCAAACCCACGCAAGTTTGATTATTTGGCTGGAGGAAGAAAACGCTGTGGAGCTCTGGAGACTTAAATAGCAACGGAAGGAATCAGACAGTATGTATTTAGCACTTAGTGCACGCCCAGCAGCATGCTAGCTCTTCTAATGGGTATAAAAGAGATGGAAGCGTCCTAGCCCTCTGGAACTAAGACTTGGGTGGCAAACAATTAGCCGATGGAGCCAGAAGGGACCTCCGAGATCTCTCGGTCCTCCCCCTCGTTTTACACTGGAAGGAAGTACGACCCAGAGAGGGCAGGTGTCATGTCCAATCAGTTAGTGCTAGAGCTGCAGCAAAGAGCCAGGCTTCCTGAACTGGGTCACCTAAATAGACTGAGGGGGAAAGAAGATCAACCCAATGAAAGTGGAAATAAAGAGGAGGAGGAGGGCCTGAAAGCCAAGGGCTCAGACACTTACCTCTTGGACTGTTTCTTCTATTTCCAGCAGTGACCCTTCTTCCTCCCGTAGCCTAGCTATGGGCATCCTCAGTCTCCATGATAATGATTTCCAAACCCATAACACAGAGTAATGGAGTTAGAAAAGACATTAAAACCTAGTCCAACCTCGATTCTGTTCAATTCCTCAAGCACTGATTAAGCACTGACCTCTGACCTTTAGCTAGGTATTCAACTTCATTATGAAAACTTCATCAAATATCCCCTATCAATTCAGACAATTCAGAGCCTCCCAAACCTTTTTTTTTTTTTTTTAAATAATGAGTCCCCTTTCCAACTGATGCAAACAGCTGGGAAAGAAGGGATAGAGGAAGAAGAAGATAAATGGACATCAGATGGGGAACTCCACATTGGCCCCAGCAGCTTTCTCTTTATCACGAGTCCTGTTCTTAGACCCAAGGTCCAATCTCAGGTCTTCAGTGGTGCATTGTCTAGCCTAAATTAAGAGATCAGGTCTTTTCTTTTTCTTATTTGTAATCCCCAGTGCTTAGCACAGTGCCTGGAACACAGTAGGTGCTAAATAAATGTTAATTAAATTGAACTGAGATCAGGCCCTTGTTATCTCAGACTCAGAGAACAGTTAAGGAGGAGAAAGAAATGACCATTTCTTCTAATTAGAGAATGACAGAAAGCAAAACAAGCATAAGGGTAGGGTGCAGAAAGTGGGTATTTCATGAACCCCACTCTCATCTGAGTCAGACAAAGAAAGGTTAGTAAGCAGAGAATGAGGTAAGATGATGGATTTGGAAAAGAGGGTTTCAAGAGAGGCATAGAATTGGGGAGGGAAGAGTGGCAAGCAAAGCAAACCTCATGTACAGAGGGCTAAATACCAAGGGAGTAGAGGAGAGTAAGGGAAAGACCCAACCTATCTGGGCCTGGGTCAGGCAGAAGTGAAGTGCAGAAGATTGAGGTCATATGGTTCACTCTATACATTACTAGTGGTGACCCTTTCCTTTCTCTACCTTCTTTTTTTCTTTTAAAGAGGGTGGTATATAATGAGAGGAAACATCATAAGACTCTGACGGAGAGAAAATCAGTGTAACAACCATAACTATGAATGTGAACAGGAAGAACTCACCCATAATATTGATGAGGGTGGCAGAAAGGACCAGAAAAGCAAAACCTGACAAGGTGGTGGTGTGGATAAGAGTGTGGGACCTCAATTCAAATCTTGCCTCAGATACTTACTATCTATGCAACTTTGGACAAATCACTTAACCCCTCTGCCTCAGCCTCCTCATTTGTAAAATAAAGATAATAATAGCATCTATTTAACAGGATTGTTGTGAGGATCAAATGACATATTTGTAAAGCACTTTGCACAGTGCCTGTCACATAGTAGGCACTAAATAAATGTTTGCTACCTTTCCTTTCCCTTAAAACATAAGATTTGCAGAGTTAAAATGTGGGGTTGAAGTAGAAGCTGTTATTTTTCAGCTGAATGCAAACAACAACTACCACCACCCAGGGATTGAAATAATAATCTCAGACAATGCAAACAGACATGGTTAAGACAGATAAAAGCAGGGAAACTATATCATGGTTAAAGGGACCATAGACAATGAATATCCACAACATCAATATTAAACATACGCATCAAACATAGGACAACCATCTCTCCCTCCCCACCCCAATGCCATTGGAGACAGCTCGGACTGCTTCCAGCCCAGTACCCTCAGGCATCCTCCTAGGGAACAACTCCTGCTGAGACGTGACCTGGTAACTGCTCCTACAGGTGCCATAGCCACAGTTCCTGAAGACCTAGCAAAGAATGTCTTTGGTCCTCAAAGTCCTTGGAACTTCAAATGGTTCAACATCAAAAATTGATATAATTTGAACAGCATAAATGATATTAAAGAAGAGATATGACCATCTGCTTTGCTGCTGTGCCCAAGGGATCATGGGACTTCTCCCTCTGACTTGCAACTGAAACTTCTATGTGTGTTATCTTCCTCATTAGAATGGGAGCATCAGGAGATCAGGGACTGTCTGCCTTTTTTTTCTGCATCCACAGCCCTTAGCAAAATGCTTGTGCATAGTAAGTGCTTTGCAAATGCTTTATTCATTTATTCATGCAGAGAACATCAAACTTCTTAAGGAAACACTAATCAAACTACTGGAGGAAATAGACAGTAAAGCAATTGTTGTGCGCTTTACAGTGCTCCCTTTCAGACCTGGACAAATCTATTGGAAAGATATACTAGAAAGAACTTAAGGATCTAAACAGAATTATCAAAAAAATCAGTTTTGGTAAACCTTTAGTGATTATTATTAATACCAAATTGAAATCTTGTGGAGTGTATACTTATATACTTATATATATACACACATATACATACACACATTCAGAAATTGATTTTGAGCTAAGGCATAAAGTACTCATAAATGAATGTAGAAAGAAATATTAAACTCAGCCCACACAATAAAAATTAATCAATAAGGAAACTTTGAAGAAAGGATCCTGACTTAAATGGAGACTAAATAACCTAATTCTAAAGAATGAGTAGGTCAAAGAAGTCACAGAAACAATAAACAGTTTTTATCAAAGAAAATGACAGCAATGAAATAACATGTCAGAACTTTTGGGAGGCAGCCAAAGCAGTTCTTAGGGGAAAGTTTCTATCTCTAAATACTTTCATCGACAGAAGAGAGAAAGACTAGATCAATGAACTAACTGGGAATGCAATGTACAAAAAAATTTTCAGAGTTAGCATGTAATTCTGTTTATTTGTCTCTTTTTATAAGCACTCATTATCCCTCTCACTCCCTCTTCCCCGAAGCAAAAAATGAAAAAAAGAAAAAGAAAGCACTCATAAAAAATATGCATAGTTCATCAATGCAATTTGCCACATTGGCCATCTCCAAAAATATCTGTCTTCTCATTCCTCATTCTCCACCACTGCTCCAGCAGGAGGTAGGAGATATGTTTCATCTTCAATCCTATGGACTTGGGGTATATCATTGCATTGATCAAATTCTAAAGGTTTCTAAAATGGTTTTTCTTTATAATGTTGCTACTGTAAACATTCTTCTCCTAGTTCTGCTTACTTCATTCTGCATTAACTTGCCTCTGAAACTGTCCATTTCATCAATTTTTATCAATATCAATAAACATATTTTAGGAATATACTATATACCGGGCACTGTGCTAAGCACTGGCAATATGAAAAGAGGGGAAAGACAAGCCCTGCCCTCAAGGAGCTTACAATGTAATGGAGACATTAAATATAGTAAAGATTTTATGTACACAACAAACATACAGAAAAATTTGTACCTGAGGCCATAGAAAGTCAAGGAAACTTGCCTACCTCCCTATGGGGAAGGAAATAACCATTTATTAAATACCCATTATGTATCAGGCATTGTGCCAAGTATTTTACAAACATCTTATTACAATATTATCTCATTATTTTATCAAATGAGATATTTTATTGCACAATAATATTGCATCATATTCATATACCATGATGTGTTTAGCCATTCTCAAATAGGAGGGTACTCCCACAGTTTCTAGGTTTGGGCTACTAATAAAAAGCTGCTACAAACATTTTTGTACCTATAGGTCCAGTTCCTCTTTTTTTAAAAATCTCTTTTGGGAATAGACCTAGTAGTGCTGGCCATGCCTGCAATATAAATGAAAGAGGAAAAAAACCAACTAAAAATAAATGAATAAAAAAAAAACCAAACTGAGAGATAAAAATTCTAATAATTAGCTATGAGATAAAAAATTCGGGAAAAAAACAACTGAGATTATGAAACTCAATGCTGTTTAGAATTTTTAAAATTGGACTTGTAATTTCACCTGATTAAGAATTTCCAGTTATGGTTCTGCTTCTGGGAGCCGCAATGGCAGACTGAGAAGTAAGTTGCTCTCACCTTCCCTTACTGACTCCTGAAAGCCCCAGGAAAAACCCTGGAATGGCTGAGCCAACAGAGAGACAGGGTACGATGGTCTTGTAGCCCAGGAAGCTTGGGCTACATCATACCTATCAGATTAGCTAACATGACAAAACAGGACAATGATAAATGTTGGAGAAGAGGTGGGAAAATTGGAACAAAAACATAAAATGCCCCAACAGGACAATAGAGAATTAAAACATCCCAACCTCAGCAACAGGAATTGAACAATTCGTAAATGAAATGTCAAAGTGGGGGGAAAAAAAAGCTGTGACAAGATCAATATCTACCAGCATTCCCTGCCCCCTGCCACACAGATTAGATTAGCTCTTTCCCTAATAGGCAAAGAAGCTATTCTCAAGACAAGACCTGATTGTCCCAGGAGCTAGGGTTTAAGCTTAGTCACTTGTTAGCAGCTTCCTGGTATCCTAGGGCCCTTGAGAGGTTGTCGCAAGGCCATACAAAGGACTACACCCTGCCTTGATGACCAGACCATTTCCATACGGAGGTGAGGGGGGCTGCAGCTACCTAAGTAAATCTACTTTAGTTAATTGTTGAATGGGCCATGAGTGTTTAATTCTGTTCTAAAATCAGACCTAAATGACGAGAAGAGTATCCTGAGTCAGGACCAGATTATAACACCAGCCCAGATGGACATGAACCTTTCTATGAAACAAATATTAAATAGGGTCCTAGCACCCCAAAAAGAGAGAGAAGACAGAAAAAGAAAATATCGCTAATGAATATTAAAATATATTTATAAAAATTAACAAAGAGGCTATAGAAATTTATTCAAAAGATTATGAATGAATGAAAAAGCATTTATTAAGATCTTACTATATGCCAAACACTCTTGTAAGTACTGGAGATACAAATAGAAAATTAATATGTGCTAGACTATAGGTACAGATCAAGGCATAAGTCATTAACCATGACCAATGGATCAGTTTGTTTTGCTTAATTATACCTCTTGGTTACAAGGAAAGGCCCTAAGGGGGAGGGAGGTGATAGATGGAGTCACTGGAGAGTGACCATGATGTTTTAACAGAAAGAGCAATACAATTTTTTTTAAGAGCTAGAATTAGAATGTGAGGCCTGACTTCTAAGTTCTGGTTCTACTGTTACATAAGCTGTGTGGCTGGTGAGCCAGTCCCATATCCTTTCGGACTCAGTTTCCTTATCTAAAAAAGAGATAGTTGGCCTAGAATTAGGGGTTCTTGACTTGGAATCTGCGAACTTTGTTTAAAAATATAACTTCCAATATAATTGTTTTTTCTTTATAACCCTATATGTTTTATTTTATGTGTTTAAAGACGTAATTCTGAGAAGGGGTCCATAGGTTTCACTAGACTGCCAAAGGGGTTCATCACACACATACACACAATATACACAACACACAAGATCAAGAAACCCTCATCTAGATGATCTCCAAGGTACCAGATTCTAGCCCTGACATTCTGTGGTCCTATGATTCTAAATTGCAAGTTGAGATCAGAAGTCTAGATATCCCCCTATATTTCTATGTCCTCCGCAACTTCCATGGTGCTCAGTCCATAACACCTAGCCAAATCCTTGTTGAAGGGAACTCAATAAAGTGACAGAAAGAAATGAAACAATGCAAAGTCTTTATAATCAACTCTGCCAGACAAAAGCTAATCATGCTGATTATATATGGCCTAATGACAAATGGAACCTTTCCACCCTGCTGAAAAGCCTCTGGCAAACACCAAACTCTCCTTCAGCCAAAGCATTTTATTTTGTTGTCAAGTTGGAGATTGATATTCCAACCAAAGGAGCCTTGAGAGTATTACCTGCTGTGTCAGGAGCACTCCAATCAGACAGCAGCACCACTGGAAATTCTGCAACTGAAAAACCACTGAAAATGGCCATCAACAGAAGGCAATTGCCCCCTTTGGAATTGACTAAAGATGCTCCCACTGCCCCGCCTTGTATGTAGATGAAATATCTTTGTGTTCAGTGAAATCGGTGTTAGAGGGGCAGCTAGGTGGTGCAGTGGATAGAGCACTGGCCCTGGAGTCAGGAGGACCTGAGTTCAAATCCGGTCTCAGACCAAACACTTCACACTTACTTGCTGCGTGACCCTGGGCAAATCACTTAACCCCAATTGCCTCACAGAACAACAAAAAAAAAATTTAAACAAAAGTCAGTGTTAGATATACCTTTTTGTGCTGGTTAGATGGTAATCACTGAAGAAGAAATATACATACACACATACATATACCCAAGAAGAATTGGAAGTAAAAGTAAGTTGAGAAATGTGATTGAAACAGTAGAGACAGAAAACAGATCTAGGAGAGTTTGGGTGAAAACCATATCACTGAGAATTTTCATTTGACTTGTTGTTTTCCTGGGATTTTAAGACAGGAGGGAAAACAAGGCTGCAGGCAGTGGAGGTTGTTTTTTTTTTTTTTTTTTAAATATAACCACGCTTTTCCAATCATCACAAGAGGAAGGAGAATGTGGCTATTCAGGGGGACAGGATATTTAATAAGTGCCTGCTGTATGCCAGGCACTGTGCCAGGTTCTGAGGCCACAAAAAGGACACAGTGCCTTCCCTCCAGGTTACATCCTTGACCAGCTCAGTGGGGAAAAGGAATCAAACTGGCCAATTTTGATTCCTGGTTTTAGGCCAGATTTGAATCCTAGAATCCTAGATTTTGAGCTGGAAGGGACTCCAGCTCATCTAGTCCAACTTCATTTCATAGTAGAAGAAACTGAGACCCAGAGAATAGAAATAACCTACCCAAGGTTACACAGTTAACAAGTCCGAAGCAGGCTTCAAACTCAGATTCTCTGATCTCAAATCACAGTGATCTTTCTGCTCTGCTATACCCTGCCTTGGAGTTGCTTAGAGAGAGAAAGGGAAAGCAAAGTAACAAAGAAAAGAGAGGATGGGGAAGGCAGCTTGCAAGATGGCACCCTGCCTGCAGCTCAGAGCCTCTCACCAATTCCACTCCATTCATTTGCTGGAATTACAGAAGCTTAGAGATAGAAGGCACTACCTGAGCTCTCCTTTGGAGAGCATCCTTGGCAAGTGGAAATACCATCTGCACTGGGAGGCCTCCAGGGACGAGGACAACTCTTTTCACTTGGGGCCAGGAAAAATGGCATGCTGTCATTAAAGGGACATGAAAGCAAGAAGGTTATATTCTAGTGGTAGAAGCCACATTAGCCAGATAGGTACATGGAGGATGACTTGAAGAGGGAGAACATACAACCTACTTGTAGGAACAGAAAATAGGTAAGAATGATGATGAGTGACTGACATTCATACAGTGGAACGTTGGAAAATCACTTTGCATCCATTGTCTATTTTGATGCTCGCAACAACCTTGTAACGAGAGGCCTACTGGCACTCTCCATTTTCCAGATGAAGCTACTGAGGCCCACAGCCGTGAAGTTATTTGTTTGGCATCCCATGTCTAGTCTTTAAGGCAGAATTTGAATGCAGGTCTTCTTGATTCTAGGGTCAGGCCTCTCACCAGAATTCCATGTGCCTGTCAAGTGAAATGGAAAGAACAGTAGAGGACACCTGGAGTCTAGTGCTGTTTCTGCCACAGCCAAACAGTCCTTCCACTTTGGGTCACACTTTCTTCACGTGTTAAATTGACCAGCATCCACTGCTAGAGAGAAACCAGGCAAGGCAAACCCAATTTAATGGCCAAGATTCACTTTTGCTGCAAATGTCACTGATCTTTACAAATACAATTTTGCTGCTTCCTCTGTATTAGACATGGGGGGAGAAGAGATCAAGAAGGATGGTGGCCTCTTGGTGCTTACCAAACGACAAATAAGTGGAAAAGAAGAGCGACTTGGTGGGCAAAGAGAGTCGGGTCCTCCTGGAGTCCTCACCATGGACTGGCTGGATGACTTGGGGATGCCCCTACCCCACTTTATGAATCTCCATTCCTTCCTATGTAAAAGGAAGGAATTGAAAGAGGTTTTTAATTTGTTTGTTTTTGTTTATTTAAAGCCGGTACTGAACTGCGAACTGTCTGAAGTTGTCAAATGCTAGGGTGAGCCTGTGCATCCTAACTCCTTGGGTTGGGGAGGGGGAAGTACCTGGTGACCTCTGAACCCTCTTCCGGCACCTTCTCAGCGTTCGGCCCCACCCACAGCCTCACACCTCCTCTTCGCTGGCCAGCCCTAACTTTTCAGCGGAGGCCAACGTTAGTTTTCGTGGAGAGTGAAGGGAGAGATTGGGGCCCCAACATGTCGCAGCTGAATCCTCAGTTCTTCCGCACTGATTATCAGTACCGCAAGATCTTTAGGTACGAAGCCCCATGGACTATATACTCCATGAACTGGAGCGTGAGGGCTGACCAGCCTTTCCGCTTGGCACTGGGAAGTTTCATAGAGGAGTATGGGAACAAGGTACAACTGGTGAGTCTGGCTTCTGACTGGGTGGACGCCTGGGGGGATTTCGTGTGCAGCTACACCTTGCAGCACCCCTACCCTGCCACCAAGATCATGTGGATTCCTGACCCTCAAGGCATCCACCCGGACCTGCTGGCCACCAGCGGTGACTACCTGCGGGTTTGGCGCTTCCCGAGTCCCAGTGATAGGATTCCGGCTGCGGGAAGGGCCCGAGGATCTATCCACAGGGCCCAGGCGCTAGAGGGCGGTGTCTTCCGAGGCCGAGGCCAAGGCCGAGGCCAAGGCCGCGGCCGCGGAATGATCACAGCCGCAGCCGCTTCTACAGTCGGGGCTGCTACCCTTGACTTGGAGCCCCGGCTCGAGTGCCTACTCAACCACAACAATACTCGCTTCTGCTCGCCCCTCACCTCTTTCGACTGGAATAACAGCGACCCCTACATACTGGCCACATCAAGCAGCGACACCACGTGCACCATCTGGGCCCTGGAGACCCGCCAGGTGCTGGGCCAAGTGTCGGGTCACAGGCATATGCATCTTAGCTCGCACAACAAAGAGGTCTATGACATCGCCTTTGGAGAGGGCCGAGATGTCTTTGCCTCAGTGGGTGCTGATGGCTCCCTGCGGCTCTTTGACCTGCGCAGGCTTGACCGTAACACCATAGTGTATCAGGAACCCCAGCGCCGGCCACTACTGCGCCTTGCCTGGAACAAGCAGGATTTCAACTACGTGGCCACCCTAGCCATGGACTCCACTGAGGTGGCTGTCCTTGACCTGCGCATGCCTCGTTCACCTGTGGCCCGCCTTAACCGCCATGGTGCCTGCGTTAATGGGCTCACCTGGGCACCCCACTCAGCAGGCCTCATTTGCACTGCTTCCGATGACTGCCAGGCCTTCATCTGGGATATTCAGCAAACTTCTTGTGCTGTAGAAGACCCTATCCTGACCTACACTGCCAAGGGGGAGATCAACAACGTGCAGTGGTCTGCCAGCCAGCCAGACTGGATTGCCATCTGCTATAAAAACTTCCTAGAACTTCTCCGAGTCTAAGGCTCTGGCCTGGGCCAGCGGGCCAAGCCCTAAACCCCAGTCTAAACACCCACCAGAAGAAGCTAAGAAAAAGGAAAAATAAGTAGTTGTTATAAGACTGTTCTTGTTATAGTTCATAACTTACAGTTCATCAGCCCTTCCCAGAAAGTTCCCAAAATGTTAAGACTTAAAACCTTTGCCAGAAGATTCCCAAGATGTTAAGACTTAAGACTTTTGCCAGAAAATTCCCAAGATGTTATGACTGTTAAGACTTTTGCCAGAAAATTCCCAAGATGCTACAGTTATTAAGACCTCTGCCAGTGGCTTCCATTGCGGGCCATGGATTCAGACTAGCCCTGAGGATATGAGAACTACCAGAAGGGTGCTGCCACTGCTGGAGTTCCCACTGGAAACTGTTTCCTTATCTCCCTGGTTCATTATTAAACAAAATTTGTCGCAGTCCTTAGTTGGTCTTTGTTGTGTTAATAGGCATTAAGGTTTGAGTGATAGATAATTGTGGTCAGAAGGTGGGGGGAGGGGGAGCTTTAAGGCCCTGGGGAAAACGGGGGGGGGGGGGGGGTTTAGGGGGGGGGGGGGAGGAAGGCTTTAAGGCTGTCCTTTAATCTGCCTGTCTTTCTCCATGCCCCAGGCAGCTAGCCTACTTCCTTTCCTAGCTCCTAAAGCAAATGTCAGCTTTCCAAAGGACTGTCCTCCTGCCTTATCTAATCTTAAATACATTTTAAGTTGTTACCTTTTAATGTGTTCAGTTTAAGTGAAATGAATTTCAATTTCATTTCCAAAACGGAGGGAAGGAGTTCCCTCACTAATTATTCAGTCCTTGTCCCTATTCTAATTTAAAGAAAAGCAATGATAGGCTTGGAGTAGAGGAGGATTAATACCTCCTTTCAACTCCTCTGACAAGGATATCTGGATCCTTGAGATAGGGCCCTAGACACAGAAAAGTATGGTGGTGGTGAGTGAAATTTCCAAGAAAATAAAGGTCACTTGAGGGTAAAGGTGAGGTTAGAAGGTGGGAGGTGAGAATACAGGTAAGGGGAGGAGGTGAGGCTGGAATGGGGTGAGAGCTAGCTAGAGGTAAGAATTAGAGATAGGATGGGTGTGAGTGCAGGTAGGAGTGAGAAGTAGGGGTGGGGGTGAGTATGTAGTAGGAGAGAAGGTGGGGGTAGGGTGGAGATAAAATTGAAAGTGAGGACCATGGGAACCAAGCTAGACCTTTGACTTCAGTGGCAGAAGAGCTGAAGGCCAAGGCTGAACATGGGAATACTATTGGCTATGGTTAGTAAGGTACTTCCTACCAAGTTAAGGTTGATGTGGCTACAAACAATGCCCTGAGGGTTAAAAACAATATCAAGGGTTGCTTTTCCAGTACTTTGTGAAGCCCCTTCTGAGGGGGGTTGGGGCTCATTCTGTAGCCCATCCTGTAACTTGAGATCCTGCAAATAGAAGGTGTCCTAAAGTCCTTTTCCCCTTGTCTTGAAATACCATAAGACTTCTCCTTCTCTTGTAAGACCAAAAGAATTGCTCTTTTTCTTCCTTATCCTGTGTTCCCCCTTATGCTTAATCTTTAACCTGTGTCTCCTTTCCCTTATGCTTAATCTTTAACCTGTGTCTCCTTTCCCTTATGCTTAAATCTTTAACCCACCATAAAATAAAACGTAAAAGTGCATCATCATTCCGAAACCCCTATATAAGTATGGTTCTCCCAAGTATCAGGGCCTTTAATTAGCCTCTTGCTAACAAAGTCCATGTATCTTTCACATAATGAAGCTCCCAATGGCTACCAAGAATGTCTGAGTGAATTCTTTCACACTTCACACCTCACACTTGAACACTTTCCCAAATCTGACCTCAACAAGGTGACTTAGCCTGAGTCACACAGCTGGGAAATGCCTGAGGGAGGATGTAACTAGCCCTCTCACCATGGACAGGTACAGCACAGAATTTACACAGCTCAACTGTTGGGCTCTAAGAAGCATCTCAGAATATTCTCCAGAATATTACTCATGAGGGTGGGGTACTTGAAAAAACAGACTATATGTAAAAATGAGTGTACCAAAGGGCTAGGAGAAGTCATTCCTCTGCCTAAGGCTGCTGTTTCTCATGAGTAGGAAGGATGTGAAAAGTAGATGAGAAGGCCCAGGAGCATGAGCCCCTCTTGGGGAGTCAGCCTCTGCTCCCAGACAATCTATGATGCTCAGAGACAAGAAACAGGAAGGTGTGTACACAAGAGGCTGTCCCAGAGAACAGTGATGATATCTGGGAAATAGAGAAGTGTTGTGGCCACGAACATTGTAAGAATACAAAGTATCACCATGGTCATTAGGGAGCACATCCATCAGAGAGGTAGTAATAATAAGTAACATTTCTAAAGCACATTCAAGGATACTAAGTGCTTCACCTTATTACATCATTTGGACTTCACCTACCCTAAGAGGTTGGGATCACAGGTAATTACTATCCCCATTACCCAGATGATGAAACAAAGGCTCTCCACCTGTCTCCTTTGAATCAGCAACTCTTTAAAACCATCTATTAAGTTATAGAAGGGTTGTGATCTCTGTTGGTAGAGGGACTATTGTTAAAACACAAAATCACATACCTTTATAGTGGGTGAAATGATTTTGTGACCAACTGGGTGCTGGCAGCCCAGGCTTGCTTTTTGTCTTTGCATCCCCAGGATCCAGCTTGTCCACTGACACCTAGGAGGTACTTAAATCCTTGTCAGAGCCACTTAGATCTCATAATGTTGAGTTCTTAGGGACCATTTCTTTTCTTTTCTTTTCTTTTCTTTTCTTTTCTTTTCTTTTCTTTTCTATTTTCTTCTTTTTGTATCCCCAGGGCCTAGTACAGTGTCTGATACAGAGTCAGTGCACAATCTGCTTTTCTAGTGGGAAGGAGTTCTCAACTCAAGTAATTGTACCTTCAGGGGCCACAAATGCCCTTGCAAATAAAGACCAAAGGATGCTGTCTTGATCTGAGGGCTTTTTCTTCACTTCTTGGGTAGGAAATGATGTCTCTTACTCCCAGTTATTCCTGTTCCTTCAATGCCAACCCCAATAGAGAAGCTGCTTCCTATGTCTATGTTGCCAAGCTCCCATCAGGCTTTGTGGCTGAGGATAGGGCATGGGGGGTGAGGTAGAGCCACAAGAACTCTTCTTCCTGCTATCTCTCAGTTCAAACAGCCAAGACTAACTTTGGGGGAGTGGTCCTCCTTTAGCTGAGGATTGAGATCTGGAACTCTTTTGGGCTCAGGGAATAGATGGAGGTAAGTATGAGATTCCCTATCACTGATCAATTAACTAATTCCTATACTTTGAACAGTGAGGAACACAGGATTTTAGAGGTGAAAGGCATCTAGGAGACTTAAGAATAATTGACAAAATTAGTATAATGCTCTAAGGTTTCCAAAGCACATTAGCTTACTTGTGGCACAGCCAGATATGGCACAAGAGTTTCCTCTACCTAGCCTTCCCTCATGTCTCACAAATCTACAGATCTAGAAATAAGGAGTTGAAAACACTGGACATCTTTCTCTGCAAAAGAAATCTCTCTTTAAAATAGATTGTCTGTAAAAATGATAATAATAATTATATAGACAAGGTCCCTGCGATATCATAGCTCATTGCCTCCCTCCCTCCAATGGAATGACAAGATTAATTGAAATGACAAGAAAGCCAGGTGACACTTGGGGCCATATTGATGGCCAGCAGATCATAGGAAACAGCAAAGTTTTGGCTCATCAACCTAGGCTTAACCCTTGAGAGCAGCTAGGAGTATTTCGGACAGAGTTCCCTCATCAGCCTTTTCTTTGCCTGGCATATAATGGGAATAGATGTTGAATTTGGGGTCATTTAAGTGAAACAGATTGGATAATACATTACATGACCTCGAGGTAATGGGGACTGGAAGGGAAAATTACCAGTAAGAGGCAAGGATTAAAATGAAGTATGGCAAGAGAGACCCAGAAGTCAATGGAGCTTCTCCTAGTCAGCACCCAGCTCTGGGTTGAAGAGGTAAGTAAAAGTAGAAGGCACTACCTTAAGCTATGAGCTGCAGTTAATGTTGCCAAACAGAAGCGTAATGGGCTTCTTGGAGAAGGAAAAATGCCCATCTAAAACTGTTTATTAAAGATGCTAAGAAATATCACAAAGCATTGTGGTGCCTTTCTTTCTTTCTTCCTCTAGTGAGGCAGTATGTACTTCTGAGGATAGGCTTTTGAGCTTCGACTATCAGGAGAGTGGCCCCCTGACCCCTCCCCACAAAGCATCCAATGTGAGTTTGACCAAAAGCAGGTATTTCATCAGATTGCTTCTCCACTGGACAAAGATCCTCTCCAAAATTGGGGAGGTTCCCTAAGAGCAAAAGGGGCACCATTTTCTGTGTTCAAAACTTGCACTAAAAACGACTGTTGCCACCATCACCAAAATGGCCTCCTAAAAACCCAGGCACACCCTGGAATGATCTGTTTCTCTGTGAAAAACCGTTCTTAGACTCCCAAAAGATGGAAACTGACCACATTGCTTTCTTTGGCTTTGGGACTTTGACCAACGCTTTTGCTCCATCTCACTTGCCTCTTCCAGCCTAGGTCTGACGCTGACTGTGGCAGGTTAGAGTTAGAAAGAGACAAGGAAGGAGAAGCTTATCCCTTTAATCCTTTATGGATGTATGAGTCAGGTAGGAGTTCTCTCCCTCAATGCAGATCACAACCTACTTCTCAGCCTGGGCCACTCTTTAGCTATGACTTTCCATAAGGCTTGGGAGAAGAGGGAGGAATGCATTCAGAAGCTTGGGAGCCTCCTTCTATATCTCCTGATAGCCCATGAGGGCCAGGGTAAGAGAGTCATGGGATCAGGGTAAAGGAAACTTTTATAGGAGAAAACAAAATCTTTCTATGGCCAAGACCTATGCAAGTGATTGCACATACTCTAAAATCAATGCCAATATTTCTAATGCCCCTTTAATCATCTTGAAAATCTATTTCCCCAAAACTTGACCCATCC